TAGAAGAGATTTGAAATCTTTTGTTGATAAGAATTGAAACCTATGTGCTATAAAAACAAACGTCACGTCCTGCCTCCTGCCTCCTCTACCGGGACGTCATCGCTCGCCTGAATGTTCCGGACATGTTCCTGTTGTTGTGAACACGTCTGACCCAAACAATCTCCTGCTGTGTGCTACACATGTGAAACACAAACTCTGGAAAATGTCCAGACCCGGAGTTCATGTCTGAAAGGGGCTTAAGTGCAATGACAATACGGACATGGTTTTATTCAGACTATTAGTTCGTCAGTCCAGGTTTTTCCTCAGTCTGTCAAACTATCAGATCTTCTCCTTAAAGAACTGGTGGATTTCTGTCATTCTACTAACACACAGTGAACATCGACTGACAGGAAACTACATTTGACAGAAACTGCTCCATATTAGGTTGAACAGTTTAAGATTTTATCGGGTTTTGAAAGTTTTGAAATAAGCTGCCATTCCTGTAACGAACCGTTCTCCAAACTGCAGTCTCTAATAAAACCAAAATGAAAATATTTATAGCAGCTGTTTTTTTTTCAATCAAAGTAAACAGCACTACCTAGTGGTGGAACACTAAACTGGAAATATCACAGATTTACAGGTTTGTGCCAAACTCTCTGATCCAGGCTAAAAAGCATTAAAGCACATTTTAAAAGCTAATTGTGCTCATTTTTCTAAATCTTATCCTTTTGCATAAAGAACATAAGCAGCATCACGGCCTCTGCTATTTATCCAACAAGCTTTATGTTCCTTTAAATGATTTGCTCCCCGCAGTTGTTAATGTTTCAACCTTGAGAAACGATGAGTAAGATATGATCAAGAGCAGGTTTTGTGGATGGCTGATGAAGAAAAAAACGAAATACTTTAGGTTATGCACTTCAAACAAGTTCTCGTCTTCACCTTCACTTCATCATCAGGAACCTTTGTGCTGACAAAGCCTGTAAAATCACAGTAAGACCCTTCACATGATTAACTCACTGATAATCTGACGCATGCTCTAGTTGAAAATTCACCGTCAGCTCGTTTGTAATGTTTAAAAAGACCTTTTGAGAATGCGATTAACACGTATACGATCCCTGACGTCAAACCTGACACCCCACACTCTTTATACAAGGATTTTATCTATAATTTCGAACATAGGAACACTTCACACAAGTGAGTAATTAGTGTCGGGTTAAAACTACATGAAATGTTAATGAGCAAAACACAAGGGTAAAGCATCAGAGTAAAAATAGTCAAACTTGACCTGAATGTGTTCGTTCATTTGTGAATTATAAACCAATGAAAATAAATTCTAGTCTCATGTGATGGAGATCATTAGACGCCTCGCTTTCCTTTGTTTCTGTGTTATTAATAAACAAGTACATTCAAATTCCCATTTACTCTTTCATGATTTCCTCTTCAAAAGCATCACAGTGATAGTGAAAGTATTTGATGTTTGTGCTGACGTGAGCCAGTATTTGATCATCTATTCTCCGATGTCCAAAAAAATGCCCAGAGAAAGGCAGCGGGCCCCTGCTGCTCTTCTTCCTCAGATGGTTCTCTCTGCTTTTCTGACCTCTGCCGAGAAGAAGAGTCGTGTGGAGTTCTAACTAATTCGCAACAATCTCGTTTAGGCTCTCAGCTCATATCCTCCACAACACCGCAGTAATTAGTGTCATCTGTGCAGATCTTGTGTCTTTCAGCTCATTGTTTTGGTTGCACGGCCGTTAAATGTCCTGTTTTGGTTCATTCATGCTGCTCTTAAATCGTTTATCACCGTCTGCACCGAATGACGCAGCCGATAAACACAGGAGAATTAAGCAGAGCTGAGGAGTTGGTAGGAAGGCAAACTAAAAAGATTGGAATTAATGAATTAGCTGTCCAGAGGCTCTGCTCCAAATGAATGCTAATGTTGCTCTGTTTCTGCTGAATGTGAAAATAAGCAAATGATCAGCTGACAATGGGTGGAGACATAGAGCTAGAGGTCGTCCACCAACCAGAAGGTCGGAGTTTCAATCCCCGGCTCCTCCAGATAAAACACTGCGAGCTCTAAATTGTCCCTCGCAGATGCTCTGTCCAAGTGTGAATGATGTGTGATAGACACACTGTTGTGGGTCTGAACTGGTGACTGACCTCCAGTGCAAAGTGATTGGCGTATAGTTGAATATAAACTATATTGAAGCTGTGTTCAGAGTGATGAGGGAACATGTCACCAAGGGCAACGCTGTGGTTCTTGTTGTATTAAAACTCACCCACACTACAGTGTCAGTACTCTGTCACTCCGTCACATCCCTGCTACCATACAACCATGTGATGACTTAATCTCCCCTCCCACCTCTTACCTGAGTCCTTCTCAAAGAAAAGACAGCAGTGAGTCTGTAGTAGCCATGGTAACACCTGTGACAGATGAAAAGATGGATGACAGATATAGTACAATACAGCTGAGTCACTACGCACACACATGCACTGAATGGAGGGGAGCTGCACAGTGGGAGTGTGTGGGCATTTACACAGACAGAGAAAGTTTAAAGACAGAAGTTGTGGGTCCCCTCCATTCACAAGGACAAAATACACACACACACACACACACACACACAC